GAGAGTTTGTAAATAGCATGTTCTTGGATGAAGCTACTGAGCAAGAGATTATTGAGATTGTTAATTCTATTAAGAATGGCGTAGCTTATGGCTATGATAATATACCTGTATTTGCTGTCAAAGAATCTATTGATTTAATTGCCAATTTTCTTACTCACCTGGTCAATTTGTCATTATCATCTGGTGTCTTTCCCGATCCATTAAAAATTGCAAGAGTAGTACCAGTGTTTAAATCGGGGAATACTAGAATAATATCTAATTATCGACCTATTTCGGTTTTACCAATTTTTTCTAAAGTATTTGAAAGACTTGTCTACAATCGTTTATTGAACTATTTGGATAAATGTGGTATTCTTACTGAACATCAATATGGATTTAGAAAAAACCACTCAACTTCTCTAGCCTTACTTCAATTATATGACAAAATCTCTTCAGCAATAGAAAGAAATGAGTTTACAATTGGAATTTTCTTAGACTTGTCTAAGGCTTTTGACACAGTTAATCATAATATTTTGTTTGCAAAAATCCAACATTACGGTATCCGAGGGAAAGCCTTACACTGGTTTAGGAGTTACTTTAGTAATAGACAGCAGTTTGTTCAATACAATAGTGCATGTTCTCAAAAAAAGATTATCGAGTGTGGCGTACCACAAGACTCAATATTAGGACCATTACTTTTCTTGTTATATGTTAATGATATCTGTAATGTTTCCAGTGTGTTTCAGTTTGTTCTATTTGCTGACGATACAAATTTGTTTTATGCGAATAGAGATCTTTCCTCCTTATCTGAACATGTTAATCAAGAGTTACATAAATTATCTGTTTGGTTTTCATGTAATAAGTTATCCATTAACTTAAAAAAGACCCATTTCATGATTTTCAGACCAAGACAAAAACAATGCAACGTTGAGCTAGACATTTTGCTAAATAATTATAAAATCGAATTAGTAAAAGAGATTAGTTTTCTCGGGGTGATCCTAGATGAACATCTCACGTGGAAATCCCATATATCGTACATAGCCAGGAAAATTTCGAAATCGATTGGGATTATAAAAAAAGCAAGCTTTTACGTTTCTAAATCGTCGTTAGTTTTGTTATACTATTCTCTTATTTATCCATATATGCAATATTGTATACTAGTCTGGGGCTCCACTTATCCGTCAAATTTAAATCGTATTGTGTTGTTGCAAAAGCGTGTTATTAGAATAATAAACCACGAGGTATATGACGCTCATACAGAGCCTATTTTCAAAGAACTTGAGTTGCTGACTTTCCATCAAGTGTATTTGTTTCACTTAGGTAAATTTATGTTCCTGTATCATAAACAAAGGTTACCACTCAATTTTAATACTTTTTTTCATCGAGTTAGTGAAATTCATGCGTATAATACGCGGAATTTGAATTTATATTCCATTCCATTATGTAGAACAAATATTAGACAATTTTCTGTTAACTACCAAGGTGTAAAATTGTTTAATTCACTCAGTCATGATATTCGCAATGCTTCATCTGTTGGCTGTTTTAGACAAAGACTAAAAGAATACTGATTAAATTTATAGTTTTCTGTCCATTTATCACTTTTTCTTTTCCTCTTTAATTGTACTTTAATTTGTATTAGTTTGTATTAGCTATATGTAATTATGTATTAGCTATATGTAATTATGTGTAATTGTGTGTCTCTCTGGCTTGATCAGGATGAAAAAGGTAGCCCAAAATTTATAAGCCTTATGGTTTCTCTTGGGCTCCCTTGCCAGTATAATTTATTTATTTATGAATGTTGTATTTTTTATTTATTTATTTTTTTTGGCAAAATAAATTGACTTGACTTGACTACCAGAAAGGTTTCAAAGGAAAATATAAAAGGCAGCAAGATAAGACAGAAGAGGGACCAGTAAAAAAACGATCGAACGTGTCCATCGCAGATGTTGAGACAACATCAAAGGCTAAGCCAGCGTTTCAGCAAGGTAAAAGTAAAACTTCTCGTGAATTGGATTTCTTAATCGCTAGTTCTCCTCCGACTGTTCCATTAAGTCATTCCACTCCTGCTAAAGAACACCAACCCGCTAGAACATCTGTGAACGTAAGAGTATCATGGCCGAGTAAAACTGTTGAAAAACAATTGCATCCAGACTTAGAGTCACTAGGGAAAATGCTGGTCCGTGGTACTTATAAACAAATAGCCAATGCAGCATGGAACAGCAAACAGATCAGAAAGCATCTCACCGTCAACGTCCTAAAACAAATTGACAAGGAGTGCTCAAATATTTGCTCACGGAAAAATCCTAGTTGTTTAAGATCCCCTTCAAAGCAGAAAATGCTGGATTTTTCATTTGAGAAAGAGAATGAAGAGCTGGAAGAGAGAGCACCATTGTTTTATTCAGTGTTGGTGGCAGGCAGTTGCAACAGGAAGAAAACTGGATTCCAGCAGTTGGAATGGATGCTTCAGTGCTGCTCAGAAACCGATCACCATACATGAATGCTGTGCAACTAATGTTGGGGATATTTTTATATCATTCCAATTGGGCTGTAAGTACATGTAGTGTCTGTGACGTCACAGTCACGTGAGGAACACGAGGAGAGACAGAGTAGCGTTTAGAGAGAGAGAGAGTATTGTAGTAAACGAGCAAGAGAATAAATCCTTAAAGTTTGATAATATAAACACTATAATTTGCGACGAGGTAAAGTAAAAGTATCGACGTTGGTTGATTTTCATACGAAATGGCTAAGGTCCTTGATTTACCGGCTATTCCACCCTTTTCTGTGTCTGAAACGAGTTCGTTGGCACAACGTTGGGACAAATGGACGAACTCGCTCGATTACTACATTCGTGCTTCGGGCATCTCCGATCAAAAGCAAAAGCGGGCCATTCTACTTCATTTAGCGGGTGCAGAAGTACAAGAAATCTTCGAGACGTTGCCTGATACTGGCGAGGATTACAAAACAGCGCTCGAGAAATTGAATGCACATTTCAACCCGTGTAAAAACATAGCTTTCGAACGTCATGTTTTCAGACAAGCAACCCAACGTGCCGATGAGTCCATGGATGCTTTTGTAACTCGCTTGAGAACTCTTGCAAAAACGTGCCAGTTCGATACAAGTTTAGATGAAATGATCCGTGACCAAGTCAATGAAAAGTGTGCTTCGAACGCTCTTTGGCGTCGCCTACTACGAGAACAAGAACTAACATTGAACAATTTATTATCGATTGCTCATTCATTCAAACTGGCCGATCGCCAGTCCTTAGAAATCGAACAAAAGTTTGAATCATCCACTCACCTCAGTTCCATCGAACGAAATAGAGATTTTCAACAACCACGGCGTAATTCTGCGAAGCGTGAAGACAATAATAGGCAAATATGTGTTTGTTATTGTTGTGGAAACGAAGGGCACCGTGCGAAGGATGTCCAATGTCCTGCCCTTGACAAAACCTGCCTACGTTGTGGCAAGTCCGGTCATTTTGCTAGGGTCTGTCGCCAAAAGACCAACAAACCGAAGCAATACAGGGAGAATGCTCGACAGCTTGAACAGTCTGACGATGACTCTTCTGAGAACGAATGTTTATTTACTCTCATGGCTCATAATGTGCATCATCGCTCGGACAGCCTTCATATGTTGGAAATTGAACACATTCCAGTGCAAATGCTTATTGACTCGGGGGCTAGTGTTAACGTCCTTGTTCTCGAGACATATCATCGTCTAAAAGCGCGAAAAGGAGTCCAGTTAATGCCTTC